CTCTTGCTCAGGCTGGTTTCGAACTCCTGAGCTCAAACAATCTGCCCGCCTCTGCCTCCCAGAGAGCTAGGATTACAGGTGTGAGCTACCGTGCCCGGCCTCTTCTGTTTTAATAAAAGAAAAAAAAAAAGGAACATACTACTCCTTTTAAAACACATTACTCAACTTACTTCAACCACTCATGCAGAGCAAAGGTAACAGCCCAGGGCTGAAGGTAGGGAATTGGGAAGGTGAGCAAAAGAGTAGAACTAAATTTGGAATCTCTGATATACTACCCATTTTGAGTTGGGTTCTTATATTCATAAAATATCAGAGGCAGGAAAGGACTTTAGTTCAACTTCCACATTTTACAGTTGGGGATCTAGAAAGTTCATCAGGTTTTACCTGGAGGCATGTGGCCTAACCCTTCCAACCCTACTCCTGCCCTTCTAGCCCAAGTTCTTAAAAGTGCAGAGATAATGCTGATGGTTGCTGCTTACCAGATTGCAGCGCCTGGTCTGCAGTTACACGAGAGATTGACTTATTCAATTTTTTTATGCTGTTGGTGTACAAAAGGACCTGGGACCTACCACTCTGCTTTTTGTTCCAGAGGGTTGTTTGTTCAGAGTGAGGGCCCAACCTCAAAATGCTTGTTTGGTAACATCTAAGTTTGGATAATACAAAGCTTCCAAATTCCATTCATAAATCCATTCTTCCTTCTCTATGTGCCTTCTCTTTTAAGTGCCTAGTTCCCCAATACCCCTGAATTCTTTCCTAAGTGCCCAGTGCATTTAACCGTGGGATGCCAGAGATTTGCCTTGTAAGGACAATAGTCTGTCCTCTAAACCAATAATAACAATTCTTCACATTTATATAATACTGTGCAGCTTACAAAGAACTTTCATACGTGTTTCCAATTCTGAGCTTCTTATCAACACTAAATTAGAACAGGTATCAGACTCTCAATTTTCAGATTGGCAAACCAGGGATTTTAAATCATTTGCCCAAGGTAACGTGGCTCGAAGTGCAGAATCTGACTTGAAGACAGACAAGAACAAGCCATAACAAACCTCTTTTGACCAAATCTCACAATATTCTGTCCTATCCCCCTTCCTTTTCAACATGGACCTATCATGTTTTTCCTTCCTTCTCAATAGGCCATCATATTAGATGATAATAACTATTCCTCAAGAATTTAGATAATAATTGTTAATAAGCCGGGCGTGGTGGCGCACGCCTGTAATCCTAGCACTCTGGGAGGCCAAGGCAGGAGGATCATTTGAGCTCGGGAGTTCGAGACAAGCCTGAGCAAGAGCGAGACCTCGTCTCTACTAAAAAAAAGAAAGAAATTAGCTGGAAAACTAAAAATGTATATGTAAAAAATTAGCCAGGCATGGTGGTGCATGCCTGTAGTGCCAGCTACTCGGGAGGCTGAGGTAGGAGGATTGTTTGAGCCCAGGAGTTTGAGGTTGCTGTGAGCTAGGCTGATGCCATGGCACTCTAGCCTGGGCAACAGAGTGAGACTCTGTCTCGAAAAAAAAAAATTGTTAATAATAATATGGTATTCCTTCTGGGATGTTTACACTGTAACACTAAATCTAAGCGTTTGTTATCTACGGTGCTTGCCATGGTAGCTAACATGGGGAAACAACCCACGTAATAATTAATGAAGACCCAAAGCCATTTACCTACTTGATAAAATATGCTACAGCTATTAAACATCTTAACAAGGATGTGGCAGTGTATATGCTGGGTGATTCTGAAGGACAGAAGAGACAGGAGACATGGTCACTGGACAGTGCAGTCAAATAGCCAAATACTTAGCAATGTGAGGTGTCACACAGTTAAGTTAGAATACCTGGTATGAACCAAGCGTGACTTATAAATTTGGGTATGACATGATGGCCTAGGTTGGTCAAGGAAGAGTTATGGAGCATGTAGGATTGAGCTGGGCCTGGAAGGATGGATAGAGCTTGTGTCAAGTATGGAAGGCCATTCCCTGTAGTCGGCTCAGAAAGAAGCTCCAATACACGGAGAGAAGGATACTCAGAGAACCGCTAGGAGACTCAACTGGCTTAAGCAGAGCTTACATGTCAGGATGAGTCATAAACTGGGGTTATATTCATGGAGGACCCTGAATGCCAGGCTGAGTTGTCTGAACTTTATGCTATTAGCCTTTTGAACAGAGAAAAAGCAATGTTTGAAGAAATACTGGGAGCGTGGGATGCTGCTGAAAAGCAGTGATCTCTCATAGGAGATGAAGGTCTGAGCTTTGGGCACAAGTGTGAGAACTGGATGCAAGGGTCTGATACAAGAAATATTTAGAATGTAGCATTATTTCTTTCTTTTGTTCTAATTCACATGGATTTTCCCTGGCCTCCCTTCCCATCTGTTTTCCAAGTTATTCTTGTTCTGAACTACTGTGGGCTACCAATTTCTGCCTACCTAGAGCTCTCACCAGTTCCTCCCATCCCTTTAACAGGTGTCTGGTCACATCTCCAGGCCTTGCCTCTGGGCCAGTCAGTGTAAAAGGAAGCATTTTCTGGGAAACAATATGACCAGGACCCAAAAGAAAAAGACTTTTCTCTCCCATCATTTCCATCAATCACTCCCACCGCAGCTGAGATGGGGCATGATCTATCCGCAACTAAAAAGTGAGAAGACATGTGCCTTCATCTCCAACGTGCCCCCAGTCTTCCCCTTCAGCCCACAGCATTACGCACACCGCAAGAGCCAATATCTGAAAAACGCCGCTGCAAACCTTACCTTTTCTCAGGAGGTGGTGTGGCAGCGAGGGCTTCCCAGCATTCCTTATGGCCAGTACCGCTTTGACCACCTCTATAACACAGATGACATCATCCAGCCTTCCCAGGTTAGGAAGGCCCAACCCGAGAAACCTGCCAGCTTCAAGTTCTTGGTTCCTTTGGGTCCCTCATCAGGGGACACCTCTCAGCCTATGAAGACAAAAAGCTCTGCCAATGCTGAAAAGAAGCCACAGAAATCAAAGCCAGCAAGGGTAGTCCAGGAAGCACCTTGCCCCCGCATCCATCGTCCCTGCAGGGATCCAGATATGCTGGGTCTGCCACCTTCTCCAGATGTGAACCTGGAGGAGAGGGAAGCCTGGCTTCTCCCTGCTGAGAAGGAGGCCAGAGCCTGGGAGGCCATCGTGCTGGAAAAGCTGAACAAGCGCACAGCCCGATGGATCCAGAACAAGCGTCCTCTAAGGTCTGGGGTATCCCCCAACAAGTGGCAGACCTTCTTGTGCCAGCAGTATGACTGGAGCCACATCCGGGATGAGCTCACCTCCACCAGCGACCTGGAGCTCCTGAAACAGCTGGAGGCAGAAGAGATAGCAGAGTTTGAGGATCAAATCGTCATCCTGCCCCCTGAGGAAAAAAAGAAGCCAGAGCTGCTGCTTCCTGTTTACTACAGGTAACTGGCCAGGGCCTCAGGTGTACCTTTGAGAATCCCTGCTCCCTTTCGAAGACTCCCAGGTGGGTTCACACTCCACAATTCAGAATGCACTCACCCATCCACTTCATGTTCTCCACCGCCAACCTGCTCGCTCAGATCTTCTCAAAGTAAGGCGTTCTCAACCTCTGAACTGTTGACATTCCGGGTTGGATAATTTTTTGTTGTGAGGGACTGCCCTGTGCATTGTAGGATGCTAGCAGCATCCCTGGCTTCTACCAACCAGATCACAACCCCCTAGTTGTGACAACCAAAGATGTCTTAGACATTGTCAAATGTCTCTAACAGGGACAAGATCACTCCTAGTTTAGAACCGCTACTCTTAAAAGGATCTGCTGTCAGCAGATCAGTCTCCCCAGCAGACTGAGCCATCAAACTGCTGATCCAGTGACTGTCTAGGCACTCCCAGAAATGTATCCATGGTGACATGAGGAAGGCAGAAACTTCATGGCACTGAGGTTTGGTACTGCCTTACTTTGAATAAGGAGCCAGTGCAGGACAGAGAATCAAACAACCTACATATTTTTCAGATTGCTTCCTTCTGATTGATTGATTGATTGATTGAGACAGGGTCTGGCTCTGTTGCCCAAGCTAGAATGCCATGGAGTCAGCCTACTTCACAGCAACCTCAAACTGCTGGGTTCAAGCAATCCTCCTACCTCAGCCTCCCGAGTAGCCGGAACTACAGGCTTGTGCCACCAAAAATTTTTTCCAATTTTAGTCGCCTGGCTAATTTTTTCTATTTTTAGTAGAGATGGGGACTCGCTCTTGCTCAGGCTGGTCTTGAACTCCTGACCTCAAACAATCCTCCCACCTTGGCCTCCCAGAGTGCTAGGATTACAGGCATGAGCCACCTTGCCTGGCCTTTCCTTCTCATTTATAGCTAGAGGGAAGACTAGAGCTATTATGCTATCCCTGATTCTTAAGAGTAAAATAAAAATAAGTGAAAATCCATTTATTTACTCATTTATTGGACAAATATAAGTTATAATAACTAGCAGTAGTTCTTGCTACTTTCAAGGTACTCTGGGAAGTACTAGGAATACAGTGTAAAAATGATATATTTGTACCTTTAAGGAGCTGTAGCCTTCCACTGGGTAGACAGACATTAAATAACCACACACATAACAGAAAGAGCGAGGTGATATAGGAGGTTCTCTTGAGGTTCTCTTCCCCAAGTCCATGCAACCTCTAAGGGTATCATTGTAAAAAGGGCTATGCTGTAACACATGACTTCAGTTATCTAAAAAAGAAAAAAAAAAGGGTTATGCCGTTAGCACTTTGAAAAGTTAACCAGGAAAAAAAGGGGTTATGCTGGGAACACGACTGCTCTGTCATGCTGCGCAGTGGCTGCAGAAGGTGTGGCTCTATCTGTGGAGGGGAAAGGTGGCTACAGACAGACCCTTCTGGCAGCTCCATATTGAACTGGCACCTTGAGGACAAGGCTAATAATTAAACATAGGTGTTCTTTTTTTTTTTTCTTTTTTTTTTTGAGACAGAGTCTCACTCTTTTGCCCAGGCTAGAGTGAGTGCTGTGGCGTCAGCCTAGCTCACAGCAACCTCAAACCTGGGCTCAAGCAATCCTTCTGCCTCAGCCTCCCGAGGAGCTGGGACTACAGGCATGCGCTACCATGCCCGGCTAATTTTTTCTATATACTTTTAGTTGTCCAATTAATTTCTTTCTATTTTTAGTAGAGACGGGGTCTCGCTCTTGCTCAGGCTGGTTTTGAACTCCTGAGCTCAAACAATCCGCCCGCCTTGGCCTTCCAGAGTGCTAGGATTACAGGCGTGAGCCACCGCGCCCGGCCAACATAGGTGTTCTTTAGATGTTCACATGTGTATGAGCTGAGCTTAAAGAGGAAAGGGAGTGAGCTGTGGGTCTAATGGAAAGGGGGGCCCATCTCCTGCCTTTTTGCCTTCTTCCCCCTTTCTCACCCCTGCCAAGATTGCCCAGTTACTTCTCACGAGCAGAGACAGCTGAAATCATGCCTGGCAACAATAAGACCACTGAGGATATCAATGAAAGAAAGAACATCTTTCAGCTCCAAAACCAGAGCTACTTCCGACAGGTGAATCCCCGAGCTGGAAAGTTTGCTTACTCCACAGACAACACCTTTGAACAGGAGATTTACTTTGGTAATAAAGTTGGGCCCTGTGGAGAGGGCAGAGGTGGACATGGGCCAGGGAGGTGGAAGGTTGCTGGGGGCTGGAAACAGTTGTGGGTGTGGATGGGAGGCCTTGGATGACCCAGGTTTTCAAGGTAGCATCCCCTGGTCACTAGCATGGCAGGGAGGGGGAGTGATACCTGGTGGGGAGGGAACTATTCTCTCTCTTCCTCCTTTTCCTATCCCCATGTCTTACTAAGGGGGCAGTAGAGGATGAACTGTAAAGTAGGCAAGATTTTGGGAACAACACACCTCTTCTCTGTCCACCCTTCGCCCTTCTCTCATTTTGAGATATTCCCCCACTGAGGGTGCTATGTTGGAAAAAAAAAATCACAGGCTTTAGAGTCAGGTAGATTTGGGTTTAAATCCTTCTGAGCCTTAAGCACTTTCTTTGTAAAACAAGGTTAAGAAAACTGCACTTCAAGTAGAGTAGATGAGAAAGCATGTATAAGGTATGCTTCTTGCCCAATGCCTGTCACATAGAAGGTGCTCAATAAATGCCCACTACCCTCCCCTTCCATCTTGCCATCCTTTAGATGTCTGGGCTTCCAGGATACCTGATCTGCATGTTCCAAGCTGTTTCTTACCAACCCCCATCTGTTCCTAAATTGCTGTCCTCTGAAAGTCTTCCTAAAGTGTTTAACAAAATTATTCTAAGGTATTCATGACTGATGGGATTAATTAGGTACCCCTTCTTTAGTGTCTAGCTTTTCATAGGTGACAATGCCTATAAGTTAGACAGGCTCTGCCCTACTAAAGAAAAAATGCCATCCTTGGCTCCCAGGCCTCTAAAGGACTTCTCTGTGAGGCCACCAGCTGTGACTTTTTTTTCCCACAGACACTATGGTGACTTATAGCTGTGACAATTCTAAGCAATAGTCACCTTCAAGGAATGTTCCACAGTATGGCAGTCATGGGTCCTAGGGGCTTAGATTAGGGTGAAGGAAAGGGTCTAATCCTGATGACTGGAAACCCTGGATGAAAAAAAAGAGGGAGGTGCTGGGGGACTCACTGTTTCTTTGTTCACAGATGAAGTCCAGATCATCCACCGGATTGGTGCAAAGAGAGACCAGATTTTCCTGGAAAACCTCAATCAGTACAGCAAACAGTTATCTAAGGTTTTCCCTGAAAGTCCAGAAAAGTGGTCTTCCCAGGCAATTCCTGAAGCATGTAAGCAGGAAGTTGATAATGGGGGGTAAAGAGGGAAATGTGGCTATTTCTTTAAGGGCCCTAGTTCATGGGCTGGGGCACCACCAGCATCCAGGCAACTCCCCTCTTACCAACTAAAAATCATCTCATACAATTATAAAATACTGGCTGGGCACAGTGGCTCACGCCTGTAATCCTAGCACTCTGGGAGGCCAAGGCAGGAGGATTGCTTGAGGTCAGGAGTTCGAGACCAGCCTGAGCAAGAGGATGCCCTCATCTCTGCTAAAAACAGGAAAATTAACTGGTCATCGTGGTGCACGCCCCTAGCTACCATCTACTCCTGAGTCCCAGCTACTTGAGAAGGTTGAGGCAAGAGGATCACTTGAGCCCAGGAGTTTGTGGTTGCAGTGAGCTATGCCACTGCACTCTACCTGGGGTGACACAGTGAGACTCTGTCTCAAAAAATAATAATAAAACAAAATACTAACTTTAACTAGGAAGAGCCTCAGTGGAACATGGATTCAGTTGAAATCAGACATAACTTAGGTGTAACCAAGTCATTTAGGGCCAATAACTACTACTAAGGCAGATCCCATCTTAATGCTTACAGGGAAAGTACATCAAACTCCTGACATTCTGCCCTTTTCCCTTGGGCTGGCTCTACCCTCCCACTCCACACTCAGGCCCATACCTGCCTTAGGCCCCAGGGTCTTTCTTTATCATAAGTTTCTGTTTCCTAAGTACATCATTCTCATTCTGTAAGCCAAATAGGGAAGAGGGAAGGGAGGTGGCCAAGAAATGAGCTGAATGAAATAGAATGTGCATATTCTCCAGGAAACTCCATTTTCTATGTTTCCATTTCCCACCACTCTTTTCCTTGCAGTATCACTGTTCAGATGGCCACCCTGGTGTGCAGGAACTAACAGCGATGGTCATCCATTCTTTTTCCCACCAGCCCCAAACCTCTGTCTCTAGTGCTGCCTGGATAGGCAATAGCTGGGTAGGCAGGCCAGGGTAAAGGAGGTGTTAACCATGGCAGCTATGGGAAGCTTCCGCAAACTCTCATACCAGAGTTAGAGAAAGGATCCCAGAGAAGCCCTGGAGTGGGTCTTGACAAGTCATTTTCTGAAGCCCAGCTGCTTCGTTATAATGACAACACTAATCATTCATGCAGCAAGGCACTTTGGCAATACTTGGATGCAGTGGTTTGTAAACTATTAAATGCTGTACAAACTCAAGACGTTATTATTAATATTGCTATACTACTTTCTGCATAAGCCAACTCCATTCTGAGAATAAGCAAATCCATAGAGTCAAAAAGTAGATTAATGGTTGCTAGGGTTGGGGCAAGGGAGGGAAGGATGATGATAAGTTTTCTATTTGGGGTGAGGAAACATTGTACAATTAGATAGTGGTAATAGTTGCACAACTCTGTGAATATACTAAAAACCATCAAATTATATACTTTAAAAGAATGAATTTTACAGAATGTGAATCCTACTTCAATAAAATTGTTGTTAAAAGAAAATCCTCTGAGGATTCTGCTGCATTTATGGAGGCTTCCACTGCCTACTTCTTGCCAGGGGCTGGGAGGAAGGAGGGAGGACAGCACATGGGTTCACAGACACTCTCCTCACCACTGGCGGAGAACATCTGCCCTCTTTTTTCCTAGGACAGGTCATTTAATGAGCTGATGTTGCATGAATACTCACATCAGAATCTTAAAAATAGCATTTGAGATTGGTCTGGGGGGAATTAAAGTCAGAATAGTAATATATACACACCTTTTAATAACCATTCTTTATCATCTCATCTCAGGAAATAGAGTTAGGTATGAAAGAACCTAGAGAAAAATAGGAAAATTCCTGGGGTTAGATGTGGCAGTAAATTTTTTTCCTCTCCATTTTGACTGAATTAAAAAACTTAGAAGAGATTTCCTTGAAGTGATGAAATTTCTCAAGAAGTGTACCTATTACTAAACAGCCTTTAGTTCCCCCAAAATTACATCATAAAACTGTCTAGTGTGCCCACATCATTACTGTTCCTAAATACCAAGCATGGGTTTCACTGTACAAGTCATAGATATACAGGTACCATTTGTTTCTGCCAGCAAAGTACATAGTCCCTTTTGTCCCATAGAAAATGAAAGAGTCATTTCTTTGTATACTTCGTTTACATGACTTTTGATGAAGAAATTGGTTGGTGAATGGGTTTCTATCTGCCTAGAACTCAACTGGAAGTAAAGTAAATGTGGCAGTTGTTGTTTGTTTATTCCGATATGGGTTAAATATTAGAGATCTTAGATTTTCTCACCACAAATCCATTTCATCTCCTTGAGCAGGGAGATATAGGAGAAATGGTGTTAATTCAGCTACTTTTCACCTCTTCGGGAGGGATTTCAAGTGGGCTACAAGAAGCAGGGGAGGGTTGGAGGGGAGGTGTCTAATCACCAGGAGCCGACCTGTCCCAGGTGTCCCACAGCTCCTGGCTGCACACACCCTCTGGGAGGACCATTTGGAGGAGACGTGCTGTACGCACATCTTTGCTCAACTGCCCTGAGGTCTCACAGGACTCTTTATACATTGGAAGAAATGTTATTGCCCTCCTTGCTCAAAGGAAATAATTGATTCTGAGCAAATCTAAAGGTGTTAGAGTTGGAATGAAATCTCGGAAGAAGCAGAAATGGCTGGTAGTGACTGATTAGAACGTGAGAATGATAGGCAATGTGGCAAATAATGAATTTAGTAAGTTTGGAAATGTTTTTATCTGTCTTCCCTTCCCCTTCCCCACACAGCTGCTCTTCTGAGAAAGAGGGTTTCTGAATCTATTTGGCACCATGAAGGACATTAAGTCCAGAAAACATAACAACTATAACTTTCTTTAAATATAACAACTATATTTTTGTAGTATTTATGGTTTCTTCTGTCCTCAAGTTTCTGTTATTTGTCATACTAGGAAAAATTCAGAGACGCTAAAATCTAAAATTTCATAGCTTAGGCCGGGCGTGGTGGCTCAGCCCTGTAATGCTAAAACTCTGAGAGGCCGAGGCGGGAGGATCGTTTGAGCTCAGGAGTTCAAGACCAGCCTGAGCAAGAGTGAGACCCCATCTCTACTAAAAAAAAAAATAGAAATTATCTGGACAACTAAAAATATATAGAAAAAATTAGCCGGGCATGGTGGCGCATGCCTGTAGTCCCAGCTACTTGGGAGGCTGGGGCAGGAGGATCACTTGAGCCCAGGAGTTTGAGGTTGCTGTGAGCTAGGTTGACACCACAGCACTCTAGCCTGGGCAACAGAGACTCTGTCTCAAAAAAAAAAAAAAAAAAAAAAAAATTCATAGCTTATAGCACCATTCCTCTCCCCAAATTAAAAACATTAAAAAGAAAACTTAATAAATTAGGAATTAATGGCCAATTACACTCTAAATTGCAATATATCAAATATTAAATGTTATGAGTAAAACTTGTTACATATAAACATATTTATGTTTGTAAAGATTTATTAAATTTAAAGGTTTATGTATGTATCTCAATTCCCTCCTTCCCCAAATCACTCACCCCATCATCCTCAGGGCTTACCATGTCTGTAGTCAGGACTTTTCATAATTCTCTGTGGGACTTATACTCAGTTCCACATGGAATCATGGGAAAGTTTCATTTTGTCCTGGTGTTAGTCACAAATAGAATGGGATGCAAGCTGGGACCACTGGGTGGCACAGCCTCACGCAGTGGGGTGAGAAGACCTCACACTGCCACGCTCCACAGGCTGTAGGCCCGTGAAAGGAGCCCCGCGCTGGACTGCTCTGCCCATCCCAGCCAAGGATCAGCTGCTGCAGGGTTGTGAGGAGGATGAGTCTCTTAAAGCCAGGAGGTCGAGGAAGCTGACAAAATCACCACAGGAGGATGTGACTTGGGAACTGGCAATGCTGCAGAGGATGCTGCAGGAATGGAGGACGGCGTGGGCTCTGAGTGAGTGAAGGAATGTCCTGAGATACTGGTATGCGTTTATGAGCAGGTGATTCTCACCTTGGACCTGTGTTTCTCAATCTTCGAAAATCCATCCCTATGAAATGTAAAAATCTGTTTGCCTCATTAAAACTAGACTAGATAAGGGCCTTTCACACAGTGGGTGTTAGATGAACATTAGTTGATATATACATCTGGGTGCTTTTTGCATGGGTGGGTATTACTTCAGTAATTTGTGGAAATTCACTAAACTGAGAACTCTTTATAGGCAGGGATCCTGTCTTATTGATTTCTCAACATAGTACCCTTAACCACTTTGTTTTATTGCCCCTTTTATTTTTTAGATGGTTACAATGAAAAAGTTATTTGCAACGAGAGATGTAGGATGGGATTAGGGGGAGTTCTCTCTGGGAACTCCCTGAGAGAGTACATAGATCATTTGAGAAGTAACTTCCCTAAAGACCCCATCTCCAGGCCCTTTATTCTTCTGAGCTAATGTTTTGCTTGAATTGTCCTGGGAGAAGGCGGACTTCTTGTCACCTGCCTGTAGCACAAAATCTAACTGTAATCAGATGGTTTTCTTCTCATTTCCCTCACTGTGGCATAGTCATAGAGTGGCACCATGAGACAGTGGAGAACCTGCTGCGGAGCTTGACAGACATACATGATGACATTCGGATCCAAGCCATCATCACATGTGCCACAGCTGCTTTGGAACAGCCCAGGACTGTCACCAGCCAGAGGAAATCAGGTGAGAGCCAAGACTGAACTGCTTGAGAACATAAGCAACTCATAAAGCCACAGAATATTTGAACTAGTGGGGACCTTAGAGTCTGAGATCATTTTGCAAATGTGGAAACCAAATACATAGAGCTTATCAGCAACAGAGATGAGACTGAAATTCCTGACTTCCAGTTCAGTATTTTTGGCACTACACTTCATCACCTTTTGTTTGCTCAGTGGCTTGCGGGGAAGCTCACATTTTCCCGCTTAGAGATCCCATTCGTAAAAACGTGTGTGTGTGTGTATATATATATATATACACACACACTTTTCTTTTTCTTCCATTTTCATTTTTCTTTTTCTTTGGCCTGTTTCTCTCTTTCTCTCTTTTTTTTTTTTATGTCCCACAGCCCCGGACAGCACATCTCAAACTCAGTACGTCCAAAACTGAACTCATCACCCTCGACAAAGACCCCCTTCCATACATTCCATCTCTCTCTTCACCTGATTAACTTCTATACTTGCCCTTCAATTTTCAGCCAAGGTGTCGCCTCCTCTGAGGAGCCTTCCCTGCCCCACCGCCCAGACTTGGTTCAGGCTCCCTGCTATATGCTTCCACACATAAACATTTTTTATTGCATCTGTTTATTTCCTTGGGTATTAAATGGTATGGTGGATTTTCAGTGCCTGGCATATAGAGAAAGCCTTCAATAGGCAGCAATAGATATTATTATAATCATATTCCCAAATCTTCCACATACATAAAAGGAACACCTTTGTTTTACTCAGAATTTTGTCTTTCATGTGATCCCTTTCACATGTCCTGATTTTGTCTTGTTACCTCCATAAAGAAATTATCTTTCTCATTATTTCTTGAAATACTCAATTGACTTCTGTTTATTCCTCTGAAATACACACATTTCCATCTAGTCCATTCTTAACAGATGGCATATTGGCCCACAGCATTAGTAAAAAGAACAGATGATTAGACATCCTAAAATCTGAGTCACCAGCTCAGCTCTGCCACTTCTTGGAAAATCAGCTAACCTCTCTAAGCTTCAACTTCCTTATCTATAAAAAGAGAATAGTTGTGTAAGAATAATAAAACTTTTTCCCCTTCTGCTTGAGAATTTGAACTTCAGTTAAATGTCCACCTGTTCCCCTGATGAGCATAGGAACTGTCTTTATAGGCAACATTGCTTATGATAAAAATGAACCCTGACTGATAAATTACATTGGGACTAGGAAGAACTGTAAGTAAAATATAAATACCTGATAGGGACACCATACTTGGGGCCTCCCTGAATGCTGTAACTTATAACACGCATGCCTTTGTGGATCCTAGAATTGTATCTATGGAGTTGTTAAAGGAGATATTAATACTAATTCCTATAAAGCACAGGTTCACCCAAAGTGAACTCCATGCTCCTGAGCTGTCCCTAGTAGGCTCTGTGGAATGCTACACAAACAGCCTCAAGAACTCAAGCCCAGGCTGGGCACTGTGGCTCACGCCTATAATCTTAGCACTCTGGGAGGCTGAGGCAGGAGGATCGTTTGAGCGCAGGAGTTCAAGACCAGCCTGAGCAAGAGCAAGACCCCGTCTCTACTAAAAATAAAAACAGAAAGGAATTAGCTGGACAACTAAAAATATACAGAAAAAATTAGCCAGGCCTGGTGGCGCATGCCTGTAGTCCCAGCTACTTGGGAGGCTGAGGCAGGAAGATCGCTTAAGCCCAAGAGTTTGAGGTGGCTGTGAGCTAGGCTGATGCCATGGCACTCTAGCCCATGCAACAGAGTGAGACCCCGTCTCAAAAAAACAAAAAAGAAAGAAAGAACTCAAGCCAAAAGGAATGCTTGATGCTGTTGCCCTGTTGACAAACTGTGCTCCTCTCCCATATCCTTCTGGTGCCATGTATGGCCTAGTGAACCTGATAGTCTTGTGAACCTGAATGTTTAGTTAAACCTAAAAAGACTCCCTGGTGAGCTCTGCAATGATACCTGCCTTGCCTAATTCAACCAGGGTTAGAAGATTGAATAAGAAAATAAATGTGAAAACACTATAAATAAATGGCAAAGCACTACCTAAATATATTTGCCTTTATCATTAAAAATATAAAGCCTCATGGGGCAAATAGGTTGATTTTCATCACTAAAACTAATGGTGAAGGTCACCATAGCCTAGCTGGAAACATTCTTCAGCTTCAATACAGCTCCTTAGAGCCAGATGATGAAAGATTGGGAACTGACATACCAGCACAGAAGTGAGCTCTAACCCCTGAATGTAAAGTCCTGCCCATTGCAGGGGCTCAGCTAACTGTAATTATATTACATGGCGGTAAGCACCTGCAACTGAGACTGAGGTTGGCCACCACATGGCTGTGGGAAGGAAGCTGTGTGGGGGAGAAAACCGAAGGGGCTAGTACTCTTACCTGGCTCTTTTGGCACAGACAAGGAGACTGTGAAAGCCCCGTCTATCCAGGACTTGCCAGAGGTTCTACAGCCAGCTCTGGAGGCTGCTCTTTGTGACAAGAATCCCAATGTACAGATGGCAGCAGCAATATGCCAATATGCCATTCAGTCACATAATCCCCTTGCCCAGGACATCATGCAGACTGCCCTTCTGAAGGGTGAGTAACTCCCCACTACTTCTGACCAGGAAATATGGGATAAAGGGACATCTTATTATCAGCTTTCTCAGTCCTTTCCTGTCCACTCCCATGCTCTGTGATGTCAGCTGTATTGGGTTTGGGTTTCTATTAGCACATTCAAAAATTAGTTCTTCCTAGGCACTTTAACAAAATAGGTACACTGCCACCAAGTGGTACCTGGACTAAGCTTTTCATAGATGCATTCGATTAGAAACCATGCCTTCTTCCACACTTGATTTAATCAAAAAGATGATGTAACAATATTAAATACTTTTTGAAAATCAAAAAATCACCACCTGAATACATCATGCTTTTGTTTTTTGCATATTAACTTCCAGGCATTGTCCACATGCATTGTTGGAATTACATAATCAAAAAGGCTGTCAGAGGCCGGGC